AGATAAGGTTGTTTAATTATAATGACAGTTAATCAATAAAGAGCGTTAGACAATGGAAGTTTAAATAACTTGAAGAGGTACGTGTCAATTTTTTTGACAAACCTACCATCCACACCAATGAAGAGAGTTCCTTCGGTTCGACCGTTTAAATATCCACATACATATTTTGAAACATTTTCCCTCAAATTGTTTCTAACATAATCTCCTCCACCCAGTTTGAATTCTGTTTGTCTAGTTTCCTATGTGTTGACCTTTTCGATAGTATTTAGCGGGTAATTCCATATCAACGTTAATGTCTACATACATATCTGCTATTCTCTGAAAGCTAAATCCGAGCGAGTTTCTGCTGATCCTGTTCTTTAAGCGGTCTAATACATCGGACACTTCGGTAGGAGATCGTAGACGAATCACAGCTGACCGCTGTTCGTCTTTAGTTTTTATTTGTATACAGTTTCTTGAAGTAGAAATGTTCATGCATGTATTTAGTAAATCATATATGGCATCTGTCAAGTTATAATCACTGATACTGCTACTTTTAGAAAGATTGCTTATTATCACATTATGATTGCTGTTAGACATTTCGAGATAAATATTATTTTTATCAAAATGAATTATCAAATGTGACCACCGTCTTTAGAGTTTAAATACATGGAGCAGTTCAAATCCAACGCTGGTAACCCTGTTTGTAAATTATGTTTAACCTAATTCCATTTTTACTTTTACTTTCGTTTTTGATGAACTAATATTATGTTATAATGTAAGTTTTTATATTCTATGGAAGGAGAAAGTATTCGAAATCCATCAATAGTGTATACATAAAGCTGTGTAATGGCTTTAAGGTAAAAAACGAACAGGATTTTCTTTATTTGTTATAATTCTCATATTCCTAAGGTACATGTTACAGGCTCCAAAACCATGTCTCAGATTTCTTATATCACGATCTGTATCGGAATAATGTCAGGATCTTTTTTCGTTTGAAAGACCTTTTGAATTGCAAATATTCATAATTGATTTCAAATGGAACTTATATAAAAAATTAAAAATTTGATAAACAGTTTGGTTGCATTTGTTAAGATTTTTATGATAGAATAATCTCTTTCGCTGACAACGCTTATTTTAAAATAAGTTTGATCTATTTATGTCAATTATTATCGACATGTGGCCATTTAGAAAGATGCAGGTAATGGTGGTCTTACCAACTATTTTTGAAATCCTTGTGACTATCCCTCTTTAATATTGCATTTCGCTTGTCTCAATAACTTTTACAATTACAAATAAATAGCTATTAATTACAACCAACCCACATTTTCCCCAATTGGACTACATTTGTGCCATAAGACAATACTTGGACATCTCGTCATACGTCCATAAATGGAAACACATATTTAAATACAAAGGGATTCAGTCGAGGTTTGTCACAGGCAGTGGGCTACACCCAAAATTGAAGACATAGGTACTCTTTCTGATGATTGTGAGGTCGTTGCCACAAATATTTAAAAAAAAAAACCCTAAATGGGTTCGAGTACTCTCAAATTGTACTTTCGTGTTAATTTGACCTGTTGATACAATTTGTAATGCATTTTTGATATTTAATGTTTACTTATTTTGTGTAATATCTCGTCTCACTATTTTTAATATATACCACCTTTGATAAGTATTTAGGATGACGATAAATGTTCACTTCTCTACTCGTACTGTGAACAACAAATGTATTTGTTTTGTGAAAAATATTTCCGTATTCCATGTACTCCTTACAACAAAACTATTTTTATTTACCTGTGTACGTTATTTTATTTAACGGCATTTTGTCAAAGGTCATAGTTGTCTTTCTGATTTTGTTTTAAATCAAACTCCCCCTTGTTTATTTAATTTAGTATTTACATTGTGTCGTAGATCAAATTTATTCGTTCCGTGTATGTTTACTTGTTTTTGTTAATGTTAATATGTCTTTTGATTGAGAAAAGCCATTTCAATTGCTATTTTGTAGTGTGTCTTTCTATGTTGGGATTATTTCAGGTTAGGGCGAAGGTTGGCGCCTGTTAAAACGTTTAAACCCGCTATATTTGTTTGCACCTGTCCTTATTCAGGAACCTGTTGTTTAGTGGTTGTCTTTTGTTGATGTGGTATTCTCGTTTTTCGTTTTTTATATAGATTAGACCGTTGGTTTTCCTGTTTGAATGATTTTACACTAGTCATTTTTGGGGCCCTTTATAGCTTGCTTTTCGGTGTGAGCCAAGGCTCCGTGTTGAAGGCCGTACTTTGACCTATAATGGTTTACTTTTTACAAATTGTGACTTGGATGGAGAGTTGTCTAATTGGCACTCATACCTCATCTTCTTATATCTTGTTATTAGATTTTCTTCAACTGATCGGGCGGAGCTAACCTTTTAATTTGCAAAAGGACTGTATATTTTAAGACGTCTGTGATTGCCTGTATAATCAAAACTATTCACCTACCAGTGTTACAAACAGCAATAAAACAGAACTGCGAGTATGATATTGGACTAATAAAACAGTTTAAAATTTATTTATGCGGTATATCATATTTGTATTTCGTTCATTGTTTTGAACTTAAATCGTGTCGTTAGATTTCACATTTGTCATTTCGGGGCCTTTTTCAGCTGACTATGTGGTATGGATTTTGCTCATTGTAGAAGGCCGTGAGGTGAAATAAAGTTGCTGACTTCTATGCCATTTCGGTCTCTGGTGGAGAGTCATCTTATTGGCAATCATACCATATCATCAGTCGAAAACGAGCTGACATTGTCATAGCAAAAAATCGATAAATGACCAAAAGACAAACAACAGAATACAAAACACAACATGAAAAGCGAAAGACTGAGCAAATCGAACCTCAACATAAACAAGGGGTGATTTCAGGTGGTCCGAAAGGGTAAGCAGATCCTGCTCCATAAATGGCACAAGTCATGTTATTTCTGTTATTACAAAGCCGGTGATAAGTCTATCTCTGTATGTCACATTCGAGAAAAAGAGGACGAGAACATAAACTGCAATTTTGTAATAGTTAACTCGTTATGGCGTCCGTAAAATGTTCGAAGGAATTATCTAAACTTTATCACTTTGAATTCTTTGTTTAATACTTTCTTTGTAAGCAGCAACCCTTCACCAAGGAAATCATGATAAGAAATGCAACCTCTGGAATATCGTATCGACTGTGAGATATATTCTCCAACTGCAGACACTGTTGGAATGTTGCTACATAGAAATGGTAAGTTTATGTTAGGAAATTCAAATTATCTCCGTATAGTTTTATTCTCAATCGACCCTCATTGTTAATTTCTAGATGTATGTCAAGATATGTATCCTTTATTCCAAGTTCGATAAGATATATACGTTCTTCACAGTCACCAAACTTTGAATTATTTGTTTTAAGGGGCATTATCTGTCAAAATCATGTTCACTGATTTGACTCAAATTCTCATACTTGATTTATAACATACTAAAACGTATATCCAAATTACAATTAGTCTGAAATAAACAGTTAACAATGCATGTATTTGATAATATTTATCAGGATTTCGTGTGTATTTAAGTCGAGACGCCATCTAAGTTACTATCGAGATGACCTCCAAAGACTGCCGACAGTCCTATAACCCGATATAAACATCAACATCAATCTAATTAGATAGCGACCTCGTGCAATTGAATTTTTCTATGTCTGTTTGATTTCATGTTATAGGTTAAAGAAATAAGTTAGTTATCGTTTTTACCTGTATAGGAATGATTTTTTGTGGATCGAATCAGTCAACGAAATGGTTCACCTTTATTTCACTTTCAATGTTCTGTTCGTTTTAATGACTGAACTAGACTAATACATGCATAACCAATCTCTAGCTAATGATTTGAATTGAAGGTCACATGAATACCGATCCAATGAGGTCGAATTATTCACTTGCAAGTGGGACAAGCTACTCCGTATAGCCAACGAGTACGGTTAGGGCGTTGTTGAAAAGTTTATGGACGACCCGTTAACCGATAAAAAAGAAGAGGATACCAGGCTAAAGCAGGCAGAATATCGAGTTAATACGAAGAGGAGGGAAAAATCTTTTAAAAATTACCGTCCAAACCCGTATTAGTCAGGAATATGGCAGTTGTTATCAAATAGTTCGTTTTCATGTATGTTGGCGGTTTTTTTTTGTAGCAGTTCAGTGTTTCTGTTGGTACTTTGTTTTCCTCTTATAGTTGATGTGTTTTCCTCGGTTTTGGTTTGTGACCGTGATTTGTTTCATTTAAATCGATTTATGACTATTGAACAGCTGTTGCCATTATTTATAGGAATCAAGGTGAACAAAAGGCTACGTCTGATCTTTTTCATCGCCCTAGTGGAGCATTTACTAAAGACTCGTTGTTACAATTGTAATGAGGAAGGTCATTGGGCCTACTAGTGTTCCTGGAAAACAGATTTCCATAAGGAAAGCAGCAGCAGTGAAACAGTTAAGTACTAGTTTTATAATTTATACGAGCATGATTATGAATTAAGCAAAATTCGCACAATAATATAAATGCATTTTTGTTGCTAGCCTTTTCGAGAATTATTTATTTTGAAAAGTAGTTTTTAAGAGCAAAACATTTTGTTCTCTACATAAGTTCTAGCGGTTATTTCATACCTTTCAGCTATTTCACACCCATTTGGGTTATCTACATCAGCACGCGTGTTTTCAAAAGTTCTACGTCCTGTTGCCACATTGGCGTTCTCATGGCCTTATAGTTATAGGTAGAAAATCCTTAGTATTAAGAAAAATATCATATTTTTGTAAACAGTTAATTATGACCATACCCATGATGATTTTTGTCAATACTGAGGAACTGCCTACTGGGCATGGTTAATAACGTCGAGTCTCAAACAGGAAAATGCCTGTGCAAGTCAAAAATATGACAGTTGTTATCCAGTCGTTCCGTTATTTGGTTTGGTCGAGTGTTTGGTTTGGTAGATTTATAACTATCAATCCTTTTTCTTTCTTCGGAGCTTGGTATTTTTGTTATCAATTTAGATTTTTTTAGGATTTCTTAATTAACTAAAACGAAAGAGCATTCATGTATATTTGTGACATATACAGATGATGGTTTTATTACCCTGACATAATGAGATCATTTCAAAATAAAGATAGTTTCTTGCAATTGATTAAGATCCTATTGTGTACTGGAGGAACAGTTAGTGGTAGTCGAAAGCACGTTGGTATCCAACCAAATACTGTTCTTTTGATATCTGAATATCATAGCAAAGTGCACTTTTTCGCTGGACGGTTCTGTTAAAAGACACAATAAAACTAAATTATTAAATATCAATGACTACTTTGGAAACAAAAAAAATATGAAATCAAAGCAAAAGTTCTGTATTGGAACTATTGCAATATAGTTATCCAACGCATGATTGTAATATTATTTGTTCGTATGTATATACCGTCTCTATTGGATTAACCGAATAATTCATACCTTGATTTATAATCAAAATTTTTCATTATTGCATTGTTCGAATGCTTTCTTTGTGTTCTTTACCTGACTTATTTTTAGAGAAGAATTTGGGAAACCAACCAAAAAAAAATATATTAAACGGCATAAAAAAAAAAGTGTCACAGGGGCGTAAACATTTCGAATTTTATACTGGTAGGTTTGCTTTCTTTGAAAAAGGATATTAATTAAAGTATTCTGGAATGCATTTTGTTTCTTTTTGATTTTTCTGAAACTGTAAGGTAAATATATTTAGTGTGTATATTTGTCATACAAATGAGAGGTTTAGCTAGATATAAAACCAGGTTTAATGCACCGTTTCTACATAAATGCCTGTACCAAGTCAAAAATATGAGAGTTGTTATCAATTCGTTTGATGAGTTTGAGCTTTTAATTTTGCCATTTGATTAGGGACTTTCCGCTTTGAATTGTCCTCGGAGTTGTGATTTTTGTTATTTTACTTTAAGGTATTACAAATAATCCTTGTTAGATGACAAAAAATATATTTTATCGAAATTGATAATTGTAATAACGATGCTTAATCCACAATTACTTATAAAAACCTTTCCAAAAAAACTAAATTGAAATCGGAATATCCAGGCAATAATGATTATAACTGGTCGATACAGTGTCAATAATGTGGAAATCTATGACACATCTTTCTAGTAAAATTATGTTTAAAATGCACAACAAAACTACGCAACTACCGTGCAAAAACTACATTCATTTGCTAGATTTAATAAAATACACAGATTAATTTAGAATACAAGGTTAGATTTTTAAATTGCATAGCTACATGTTAATCTAAGAATGTGGAGCTAAAAATGACAGATGAAACTAGAATGCAAAAAATATGCAAATGGAATATAAGAAATAAGCAACTAGAATTTTGCGTAACATTAACAAAGATCTACTGAATATTTATACAGAGTAACGACATATTGGTTGCATTAAAGCTTTTCATTCATGCGTAGCTTTTCCGAAAACGACTGGTTTTCAGTACCACAGACATGTGTACCTTTTTGTCGGCTTCGTAAATAAACTGAAACAAAAGCAACGTATCAGTATATTTTCATGATAACCTGATTTGTAGAGATTTAGTACTTGTGGTATTTAAATGTAGTTGTGCATTTTATAGTCTACATGTAGCTGCTTACATTTAAATCAAGCTGCGTATTTTTTAAATCTAGGAGAACGTTATTTGCAACATCGGTGTGTCATTTTTGTTCCGTGCTTATAATTTTGGCGAGAAGGACGTTACTTCGGTATCATTAACAGGTCAATATTTTGGCACATAGTCATTTTAATGCTACTAAAATTGCAGTTAAACAGTAGTGCAGGATATATATTTTAGTAATTACAATACAGTAGATAATGTTTATATTTTACCTAAAATCCCCATACCTGAAAAATCCAATCTTGTACTTCAGCTGCAGTAAAATCTGATACACTACCTTCACGTCTCATATACACGTGACCTTTACTGTCAAAAAGTCTGTTGAGTTGTTTTTTCTTGTAGACTGTTATTTCAATTACTTTACAATTGGCTGCAATGTAAATTATACAATGTGCGACAGGTTGAAATCTACTATATTAGATCATATTAAAATAAACTTTCCTTTAATTCTTTTGTTATATGCAATATACATTTTACGTTTTAATGCAATAAGCTATAATTGTATATATGGAGAGATATATGATATTTGTTTTCTTTCAATTAAACAAAAAAGATAACAAAAATATATTTGATACATGCCCTTGGCAATATCCAGCTATGAAATTGCTGTTCTTCATTTTAAAGTCACAGATATAAGATCGCAACTTTAGACCTGATTGTTAATGCTTGGTGTCGATGAGTTAATCTATTTACAACTGATTGTAACATTTTTTCTTATGTTGTGCTGTTACACTTTTGTCCATGGCCAGAGAGATTGAGTGCTCATAAATCTTCTTAACCCCGCCACATTCTGAATAGATTTCTGAATAGGCATGTCCCAAGTCGAAAGCATGTTATTCCATTAATTTTAATTCTGGTATCAAGAGCCTGTTGTTCAGTGGTTGTCGTTTGTTGGTATGGATCATATTTGTTTCTCGTTTTTTATATAGATTAGACCGTTGGTTTTCCTGTTTGAATTGTTTTACAGTAATCATTGCGAGTCCCTGTATAGCCTGCTGTTCTGTGTAAGTCAAGGCTCCTTGTTGAAGGCCGTACTTTTTCACTTATAATTGTTAACGTTTTATACATTGTGACTTGGAAGGAGCGTTGTCTCATTGGAACTCATACCATATCTTTTCTTTTTTTATAAATCTAAGATGAGATCATCAGTATTTTTTGTTGGTTACATTTGTATATCTGTTTTTCTTTTATGTTTTGCCATAAATTATGGTTGTTGATTTTTCGTGTTAATTGTTTCACATGTTGTCATGTCAAAATCATTTATGGGCCGAACGGTGACTTATGATTGCTTAAATCAACGTCATTTGTCCATGGACTCGTACGAACACCTATTCTTTTCTATATAACATATTTGCAACATCAAAGTATGTCAATCAGAATGTCTGTAAAAGGGAACATACTACACACAAATCAGAATCGGAAAACAAAATTCAGCATATAAAAAAAAAGACTACAAAGAAAACATTTGTAAAATGACCTCTTAATTTTCCATTCGCTTCCACGGGAATAAACTCTACGTTATAGTCCTTATTATCGACAGGTGGTTTTATTGCTCTGATGCTTTGGTCGATATACTCTCGACGAATCTTATCCTCTTCATCACAATTGACACCAACAACATGACCATCATCTGAAAAAATACACATTTCTTTGTCGGTTGAACCTGGTTTAATGGATAGCCAAACCTCCCACTTTATGACAATGTTAAAAAATATCGCTAAAATGACAACACTACGTGACAGAAATACAAGACAAACACACGCAACCATGTATGCATTCTCCGGGTGCGGGAATTTCTCGCTGCATTGAAGACCTGTTGGTGACCTTCTGCTGTTGTCTGTTCTATGGTCGGGTTGTTGTCTCTTTGACACATTCCCCATTTCCATTCTCAATTTTATTGTTTGTCATTGCAAGACCTTTCCAATGCAAATAAGGGTTCTCATAAATGGTTAAAAACCACTCACATACACGATATAAAGTCGTAATAGCCTAGATTAGAACGGCCAAGTTACCATAAGTTTTTCCCTTGGAACATGTCACACCCAACACACATCATCATTTCAGATCTTAACCCTGAACTATGTATACTCTTATAAGACATTTTCGGAAAGTCTTCTTTACAGACACTAATAATGACACCAACACTCCGCCCTGATAAAGAAGAGGGCCGTATCAAAATGTTGAAATATTCAAGATTATCTTGATTGATTTGACCTTAAATTGGTAATTCCAAAAATGTTGAAAAGTCCACCATTTTGATGGTGTTAAAGGCGAGCTTTTAAATTGTGATATAGTAGATACCGTAAATGACATTCAAATTATATATTTTGCTTTCTTTTTCAGTTTCGTTTTGCCGGATGAACACTCAAACTTTTTAATTTAAAGTTTTTGCTATCAAATCTTGCGTATTTATAATTGTATGGCGGAATTTCTTAAGCAAGGTTTTACAACGTTCAAATATACAACATAAATTGAAATGGAAGAATGACAACAATCTTATGTATTTGAGCGAAATCAAATAGAATGTTTGCGTTTAACTACCATGATAAGCAAGCATATGCATGTCATAATGCATGCTTAGTTTTCCCATTATAACTGTGTTATTTTAAGGATGTAAAGATCAGACAACACTGAAAGATATTCCAACTTTTGAATATTTATCTACAGTATTTAATAAATTCTTTTGTCAGAAAAAAGTTGCTGTTCAAAGACCTTTTTGAAAAAGTAAATTGGCAGACATTAGCGTACATTTACATGATTTTTTTCCCAAAGCAACAATTCCATTTATGACAGGGTTATTTAGTAAGTTACTGTTTTCAATTCTGCTAAGGAGATTTCATTTATAAAAATCATTTTCTGAAAATATTATATCAAAAAAATAATTGGCACTGAGATAAATCGACGTCTTATTATCGACGTCAGTTATTCTCTTATAAGAAAGTATAAAATAATCTTTATTAAGACATATTTCACCTCATACAATGATTTATTACACTTTCCTGTTTTTGTTCAACTATCTGAATTTAACTTTTTATATAACTTTCACAAAGAACATTTTGAGCATTCGAAATTTCTATTTTACATTACAGACAGGTTATATGGAGTTTGAAAAAGATAAATGCTTTATATAATACTCTTCAAAAATATATATGTGTGATATTTTCTTAGTGGCTTTTATTTTAAGACATATGGTCACTATAGGAAAAAGGGTTTGAGGGCAGGTTGTTATGGTTTTAACCCTACCACAATATATACCTGTGCCTAGTAATTTTAAAATTGAAGACGTTTAAATACATTTATGTAGACATGTCGACAATTAAGAAAAGAGGCAGTAGGCTCAGTTATAAACAAAATGTTGACATAAATATCTTTGTTAATCGGTCTTTAAAAAACGAATAAATCAACACGATTGACGTTAAATATTATAACTCATTACAAGATAACGTTCAATGATTTGAAAAGGCGCGTGTCAAACCTACCATCTACACCAATGAACAGAGTTCCTTTGGTTCTTCCGTTTAAATACCCACATACATACTTAAGAACATCTTCCCTCAAATATTTTTTGACATAATCTCCTCCACCAAGTTTGAATTCCATTTGTCTAGTATCTCTGCCTATATGTTGACCTTTTCGATAGTATCTTCCAGGCAATTCCATCTCAACGTCGATGTCTACATCTTTATCAGCTAGTGTCTAAAAATCGAATCCAAGGGAGTTCCTGCTTCGCCGGTTCTTTAAGCGGTCTAATACTTCAAAAACTTCGTTTGGATTTCTTAGAAGAATTACAGCATACCTCTGCTTCTTTTCCTTCTTTATTTTTATACAGTTCCTCAAAGTATAAATATTTTTGCACATGTTTAGTAATTCAAATATTGAATCCTTTAAATTGGAATCACTGATGATTCTACTATTCGTAATATTTCTTATTATTACTTTATGATTGCTGGTAGACATGTCAAAATAAAGATCCTTTTTATCAAAATGTTTTGTTAGATTAAGATGTCACCACCGTCTTCATAGAGTTATAATACATGTAGCTGTACAGACCAGCGACGATAAGAACATTTTGTAAATTATCTATGAAGCATCTTATTTCCGGTTTCATCGTCATATAGCTCTATAGAGCAGATGTTACCTGTGACATATAACGTAACAGTATTGATTTACAATATTCTAAAACATTAAATGTAAATAAATATATATATGTATTTCATAAAAATAAATGTTTATTTATAGAAAATGAATGTGTCTTCGTATAATGAGATATATGTTCATTACAGTAATATATACGTATAAAAAGAAATGCATAGTCATAAACATAATTGTATATTCAAAAGCAAAATGTATGTGATAAAAACGATTTATAGATGTTAATAATAAATAAATATATGTGCATATGAAAACAAAATATGTGTTAAAAATATATATTCATTCAAAATATATGCATTTGTATACATTAATTACACAATAATTATTTTTTCATACATTGTCTCAAATAATTAAATGTTGGTACCAACAAAATATATTGGTGCAGTAAATGCAGTGTTTTATACATCTAAAGCGTTTGCAATTGTACACATCTTATTTGGTTCAGTGATCTTGTTGATGATTGGCATGAAACGTACGCTTGATTGTAAGATCATTATCGTATGAACTACTATCATTTATTAAATTCAAGTTAAACACAAAAAAAAAACAATTTGGGGTAAACATATTATAACCAGATTATTTTGTTATATTCGAAATCTCGTGCTATGGCCAAAAAGCCAGTCACGCAAAACCTGGATTAAAAAAAAAAGATCAGATAGGCTGTAAAATAGAGGATCGCGATGGCGAGATTTATCTTAATAATTCAATTGTATATTTTAAACATTCGTTTGCTTTTTTAGATATGTGTACAAAGTTTTAAGTTTTCAAAATGTAGGAAGGTATGCAATTCCTTTCTGTTTATCTGGAAATAGTCTATGCAGACACGTTATATTGGAACACCATATTACAGCTGGAATAACGACATAGGAGTATTTTGTTGGATTTAACCAATATAATTTTAGATCAAAAATGCAATTTGAGTCATTTTCATATCACCTCATTAAAGAAGGCCATTAACATTGTTATTCCGTGAAAAGACCTTTTGATTTTTTTCTGATTATTTTTTTTTTGTTCCTTGGCCGCTTTTGTTTCTGAAATGTCGCTTTTGTTTCGTAACATTTCGATTATATATTTCGGATATGATATCGAATAGTTTTAATTTTGAAAGTCACCGTTTTTAACCGAACACGTGTGAGTCATCTCCAAGTAAACTGGTTTACTTTTTATCGCAACTCCGAAACTGTAAAAGATATATGTAGCTTGATGATTTTCTACACAATGTTCATAACTTCCTCAGCATGATGTGTTCAGTTTGGAACGAAGCGATTCGGTTACATGTAATAAAAGATATTTCCTTTTTTGTGTTCGACATACATGGTATGTTGATGTAACTCATAAAAGGTAAGTTATTGATACATAGGGTATTTTGATGTAATGGTTAATGGTCCTTCAAAAAGAAAATTAGGTCAAGGTCACTAGTAAAGCTGATGCTATAAATTAATTTTAACATTTACTGTTATTGGTACTACTCAGAAACAAATATAGATATCGAAAAAAAATAGTTCAAAATGTTAGTCAATTTGATCCATATTAGTACGGTGAAATTTTATTAGGTGTCAATGCCCACGAAATATATCAATGAAAAATTAAGTAATCCAAATTTTGCAGCTAGCGTGATCTATATGCATTTTTCTTTTACCACGACCACCTGAATTATCGTGGTAATAGTTAAATAAACTTAGAAAACACCTTCTGCTCCGTAAATGTTACTGTAAAACTGCAATCAGGACTACGCACATACATAATATATTTGGAATAGAGATCCAATTCAAGTATTTTCTGAAGATAATCAAAAATCTCTTTTTTTTTTAAAAACATATATAACAATAACTTTTTTGCATACAGTGAATGAATACTCGTGGTCAGCAATTTAAAATCAATCTACCTGTAAATGAAACAAACTTCATTCAAAACAAAACAAATAAACATAAAGTCCGTAGTTCTTTAGATAAAAGGAAAACTCATAACGGAAGTGAATAATTCGACCTCATCAAATCCGTATTCATGTAAACTTCAATTGAACCTCTTAGCTAGAGATGGGTTACGCATGAACTAGGCGTGATCAGTTAGTAAAAGGAAAAGAATGTCAACATTGAAAGTGAAACAAGGGTAAACGATTTGATTTGCGAATCGATCTAAAACAAACTTATTCTTATACAGTTAAAAACGGTTATTAACATATTGTTCTGACCTATAATATGAAATCAAACAGACCTTGAAAAATCCAATTGCACGAGTTCGCTATCTATTTATATCTATGTTTATGTTTACAACGGGTTATATAACCGTCGGCATTCTTCGGAAGGTCACCCTGATGGTTAATTAGATGGCGTCTAGACTAAAATACACACGAAATGCCGATACATTATTTCGAGTTTATGCATCGTAAATTGTTTATTTTAGACTTTTTTATTTGGATATACGTTTTAGTATGTTATAAGTCGAATATGAAAATTTGAGTCAAATCGGTGAACATGATTTTGACAGCTAGTGCCCCTTTAAATCACACTGATTACTGATTGGAAATAACACGTTGTTTAGATTTTATCTAATTTATTATCGAATCATACTTTTAATTCATGATTGGAAAAAGGCAATAAGGCATGTCATGTTAACAGGACCAAAAAGTAAAAACTAACAAGGGACAAGCGTGTCCCGGGCATTGCATCAACTTATGATGTACACTATTTTTAGCTTGATTTCTAAACTGTTGGCCGTTAATGTGTGTTCTCCAGCTTGCTAGTTGAATGTGGTGTTCTCTGGCGATGAACCAAGAAATAAAAGTCAAGTTGGCCCTTGGCATAACATTGACATATACTGTACCACGTATTAGGATGTATCTCCCATTTTGATACTCTTTGAATGTTCTTCGTACTGATAATTGCTCGATGGCTTTTAGCGATGTTCCAAGAAGTAAAAACTGTACAATGTTCAAGGTGTCCCATTGCATTGACTTATGTAGTATCTTTTTTCGATTTTTACTTTCAAATTTTAAATCTGACATTATGAAGGTCAATCTATAAATGCACGTTAAATATAAAAAAGGACACGCTTAACTTTGATATAATAATGTGTAAACATGGTCTTGTTAATGTTTTCATGTCTGTGTAAAATGAATTATTTATCATTGAATCAAGTCATTTGATATATAATGCGTTCAATATATTCTACACAAATAGCAAATGCAATATGTATTTTGACGAACGTCGATTTCTGTAACAGACATTGAAAGGTCACATAGAAAATGTAAGTATTTAACTGTGTAAAAGAAAAGCACTTTCAATTTAGGTGGAGTATTAAAAAGGGAAAAAGGGCCAATTAATTATGCTGTCGTATGTAAGTATATCAAATTCTTTAATATTTCAGATTCATATTTTACTTGTCGCGTTATTAATTTTTTAAGAATTTCATTTGTTTAGAATTTTAGAGGATTCGGTATGTCTTTTTAAATCGCTTAGCAAAATTAGCGGACTCACTTCCACGATGTAATTACTATAGATCAGATTTGGTTGTCTGTCCCTCACCGCAATTTTATCATCAACATTAAGCCTATGGACAGTTCGAAATACCATCCATTCGCATTTTGCTATTAATTAATATTCCACGATAATAAATTCGACAACATTGAAGCTTTAAACAATTCCTAGATTCATGGTTATATTTTATATTCCTCAAATGGTCAAAAGATATCTACACGTCATTTTTGTTTTCTCAACGTCTTCCTTTTATTTCGGTAGTTCAAAACTTTACACCATAAGCAGTGTGAGCATTGCTACTAACATTCACCAAAATATACAAAAAGAGCAACAATGGTATATATAATTCTCAGATTGTATTTGTTTCTATACGATTTGAATGTTCAGTTTACGCGAAAGTATTGATGAAGGTCGTACACTGACCTATAGTGGCTTCATTATTTGGTATCAGGTGGTAAGTTGTCTCATTGGCAATCATACCGCACCTTCGTATTTTTATTCACGATTGGGTTTTTTTTTACCCTGTCAGATGCACGTGGTCAAATGGGTACTACTCAGTCAGGGAAGAAAACGATCGTATACATATAAAAATAAAATATGTCTTAAAGATTCATATTGACCAAAACATTTTCGTAGCAGTTAGAAAGAATAAGAGATATCATGTTAACATTGTTTCAGCCGACATGATAACCAAAACCTCTTTCTTGTTTAAAAATAAAGTAATGGTACATGTATGATTGCCAATCAGAGAGTCGTAGAAGTAAGCTACTATAGGCCAGCGTACGGCTCTAAGGAATTAGCTAACCCATGCCACAAAGCAAGTTATAAATGGAACCGACGTTGATAAAATTAAAACAATAAAACGAGAAAAATCCACGGCCTGATATATGTAAAACAATAAACAAAAACAAATTTGATTTGCAGCGACCATTGACAACCACAGAAATAACATGCATTTATAGCTTGCTGTCGTGGTAACTATTTTGCAGTGGTAACCCTGTTTCAAATATATTTATTATGGTAGTAATCTTTTATTTAGGGGACTTAGAAATCTCAAAATTAGGTAAAACTTGTTTGATCAGCTGTAATCTAAAACTTAATGATCATGGTGCTCAGTGCTCTTAAACTTTGTTATTTATGTGTTTTTTTTTTAACAACAAATATATATTCTTTAGATTGCCTGTTACAATTATACTTCAAAGCCCAAGCGCCAGTAGAGTATTCCTGTGAAATACTTCTGAGCTGTCAGGAACATACTCAGAATATTATTTAAAAACATGACATAAACTATGACATTATATATTAATTATTCTATTATGACAATTTCTTTAAATTTATGAAAAATATATTTTGAGAAATCATTTTGCTTTCATTCATAACCCTTCGTAGTTCCTTTATAAACAATTCATACACATCCAAGCATTTCAATTTTTGTTCTGAAACTTAGTATGACTTGTAAATGCAACTGTCAAAGAACAATATACCTGATCTGATATTTTGTATC